AATCTTTTAGCTTGGCCCAGGCCTTATACTTAAGGAATTTTTTATTATTATTTATTTTAATAGCATAAATATATTATTTTATAAGGCACTTGTGGTATTTTTAGTGTATTATAAGTTATTAAAATACTTTTTTTTTAATGTAGTATATCGCGGATAATTAGGTGGTATTATTAATAATTATAAGGTAATAATTAAATTTACTAATTTTAGTTAATTAAATAGGTTATATATTTATATGTTATAATTTTTCTGGATTTACTTCCCGCAGGACGGGCTAAAATAATATTTTATAAAATTTAGCCTTAAGGCAAGTAAAGTAGTTTAATTAATTAATAATATTTATATTAAAGCCCTCCGCCCGGGCCATGGCATAAAGTTTAAAAATACTTACGTGGCTAAGGTGCTTGTAAAGTAAATTTATATTAATTATAGCTAATTAAAAATATTATTTAAATATAAATTTTAAAAAAAAATACCATGGCGTGTATATGCTTACCCTATAATAAATTTATTTAGGCTAATAAAAGTATTATTTTTTTTATAATATTATATACTAAGTGTTTTTTTTAGCCTTTTAATAAATAATAAGTAAATTAAAGCCTTAGGCGCGTGATATTTATAAACCTTAATTTTTTTATATATATTATTTATACCTTTTATAATAATAATTAGTATTTTATAACCTTTAGCGTGTTTAATTACTTTATTAAATATTTTATATAAATATTTTAAGTGGTTTAGGCTATATTTTATGTAGTTTTTAAAGTTAAAGTACTTAAAAAAATAAACTTAGCTAATTTTATATTTATAAGCTACTTTATTAGTTTAGTAGTTATAATAAAAGTAGGTATAGCTAAAAATTTAAGGCTAATTTTAGGCTTTAATTTATTATATTTAAAGTTATAATTATTAAATTTATTATTATTATATAAAGCTATAGCTTATAATTTTATACTAGTTTTATTTAGGCATAGCGCCTATACTTTAAAAAGCTTAATTTAGTTATTAGGTTAAAGTTAAGGGTTTAAATAATAATAATTTTTTTAAAAGTGGCCGCTATATTTATAATATTTATAAAAATAAATCTTATTATTCCCTTACTTTATTTAATTAGCCTATTTTTTTTTATTTATATTATTTAAAGGGCTAGTAAGCGCTTTAGTATAAGATTTTTTATAATAAACCTATTTTTTTTACTTCCCCAAGGGCGGGGTTATAATAATAAGTAAAATAATTATTTTAGCTTTAGCTATAATATTTTTATATAATTATTTTAAGTTATTTTTATTATAATTTTTTAAAATCTTATTAATTAAAAATAATTATTAAAATATAGCTTATATTTTAAGGTTACTATAAATTTTTTAAAAAACTAATAATATAGTAATACTAAGTTTAATAATAATATATAGGTTTTTAGTAGTATCTCACGTGGTTATAAATATTATAATAAACTTAAAAGTAGTAAAAAACTAGTTTTTATATATATTAATAACACTAAGTATTACCTTAGTAATTTAGGGTATGCCTTATTTAATAATAATTTAGTAAATTATATTAAATATTTTATTAGTATACTTTATTAAATACGGGGATTTTATAACTTTAATATAAATTTTATGGTTAACTTAGCCCAGAAGTTAATTAGTAATAAGTATTAAGTAATTTTTTTATTATTTTTAATATAATTTATTTTTAAAAGGCCTAGCAAGTAAAAAATTAATTAATTAAAAAAGGTATAGGGCTTGTAAATATTTTTTTATTTAATTAAATTATTTATTATAATTAATTTAGCCCAAAAGTTTAATTTTAAATAAATATATAATAATAAAAACTATAACCCCAAGCAAGTAGTATTTATAATATACTTATTTAAGTAAAAAATTAAGGGGATTTATTAGCTAAGTTACTTATTAAAATATTTTTATAATAAAATTAAGTATTTTTATAATAGGAATAGCTTATTAAAACTTAACTATATTAAATATTAAGTTTTAATTAGTTAAAAAATTATAGTTTTATTAATTTATAAATAGTAGGTATTAAAAATCGCGCTTTAAAAAGGTAAAAAAAGTATATAATAATACTTATTATAAGCTTTAAAGCTTATAAAAGCACTTAAAAAAGTTTTAAATAATATTTTAAAGTAATTAAAAAAGTTTAAGGGCTTATAACCTAATAACTAGCTAATAATATTACTTATAGTAAACCTTTAAATTATTTATGTGTAGCAAGCAGTAAGTTATAAAAAAACCTTAACTATCACGTGCTGCGCTAGTCCTAATTAAAATAGGCGCGTCCCGGGCGCCGGCCCTCCGGGCGTCCGACAAGATGCATATGGGGCCTTTAAAATGACCTGGGACGCAGAGATTGTGACTGCCCTCCTCGCAACAATACGCTTGATTCCCAAAATATATCTTGGTTGCCGGTGGTTGTCCCTATACTGCCCAAGCCTCACAACCAGCTTCAAATGCTTGTTTCAGGTGGAATTAAGGCTCATTGTGGCTAATATTGACTCGGGCGAGACTATAAGCCTTGTTTGTACTGTAGAGCATCCACTGTGAAAGAAAGATACCTTGACCTGAACAGGGTGGTAATTTTGAATTACAGCGTTCCAACCAGGTCCCGGTTAGCTGAGTTGGTTACAGCGTGCGACTTTTACCGCCTTCCCAATTGGGAGCTCTGCCGGTTATCGCAAGGTCGAGGGTTCGAGCCCCTCATCGGGAGTTCCTTTTTTACTTTTTTGCGCTCCGCAGGCAGATCCAGGGCATCTCTCTTGTCTGGTCTAAATCTCTGTTCATTTGCCTACCCATCAATGCCCTGTTTAGCTCTGTAGAGGATGGGCATGCACAGGACTGCCGCTTCAAACTTGTACACCTCGCTTCGTGGTTGCTCGATGTCAGGAATTCCTGCGCACAACCACGGCGACCATAACCTGAAAACACTCACTGTCTCTGCGTTCAATCATGAAGATCGATATGTATGTACAAAGGATCCGTATTCCCTTCTCCATATTTAACCCTCAGACGCTAGGTAGCGACCCGAAATCTGTTGTATCGACCACCTGACTAACAAAGCGCCCAAACGTGCTTAGCAGTACCCTGACCAACGCTATGAGCAACCTGCTCTGTACTGTCACGGCCTTCCTCCAGGGCCGGCGAGTGTTGTTTCTGACCGGTGCTCGGAGCTTGATATCCATGGATAGCGGGGACAGTTACCATGCTCTCGAATAGATCCGACGACCAGCACTGCCCTTCATTCAGTTCTTTTCCGAGGCCGAATAAGCTAAAGATATCTTATGGAGTACCGTACTACCCCAGAGGCCATCTCAAACGCAGCCACCTTCTATATCGCTCGACCATGAATCCTGTGCCGTAAGACCGCGCAGCTTGTCTACCGTTGCGGCTCTGTATCTAGTCGACCAGAGTGGTCGCGACATGTTCACTTAGATAAACCGCCGATGTTCAACGTTGCTAGGGACATAGAACGGCCTATACATTCGAGTTATGACACTCAAGTCTACCTAGGTACGGTGCTGGCACGGAACACCTAGATGGATGCTAATCCAGGTCATTGCTTTGACAGCGCCGCACCCAGTCTGACGCCTCGACGGTTACCGCAGTCGCAAGAGTACTATATGGTTCGAGTTCCAACTCGCGCCCTGTGAGTTTGCCATTTCGAGATCAAAGTTCAGAAAAAAGCTCTTCGCCCGATGGGAGGCTCGACGCCCACGGGACATTTCGGTACCGTAACCGGCAGAACAGACAAAGCCGAAAACTCCCCCGACTGATTTAACCGGACAACAATAGTATTTCGTCCTTCTAATTTCGCGATATCAGCCAGAAATCCATGGAATACCGTTCATTTCTCTTCGGCTGTTACAGGTTGCCACTCCAACCCGCGTGGTTCGCCCCGGGGCCGGCATACTTAACTCCCACCACCGGCACAATGGACCCGCTACAATTCTTTCTGCTCCTAATCTCTAGCTTGGAAACGCGGAGAAGCACCTCGAACTCAAGAGCTAGCGACTGGCAAACGGCCCTTGGCCCCGCGGATGTTTAAGAATACCAAGGATTTAGCTAGGACACTTAAGGCAGAACTGGAGCATCTGCTACTAATGGTACCTAAAGTACAAGACGCCATGATTATGACACGATGTTCGGCGAGGACCAGTTACTCAACCCCAATGTTAAGGACACGGTTCAAACTCGCTGTGAAAATGCAAAGCTGATCACGAAGATACTACACCAAGATGACAATCGCAGAGGTCCCAAGATCCCCGCCCTGTTACCTCGCAGAAGATGCAAATCATGCAAGGTCATACGTATTTGAGGCCAACGGAGGTGTAAAAAGCCATATCACACGCGCTGGACAAACCTGATAAATCTTGGTGGTGCTTAGACACTTCCAAGGTTGCTGGCTCATTGTGCATTTTGTGCGTTGGCAAACCCAGCCCTAATTTTGTCTATCCTGCCGGGGAATCTTGAGATATATTTTGATGCTCTGAATACTCACTTCAAAGTAGACCGAACGAATACACGGATGGGACGGGAAACACTAATCATCATTTATACTCGCTTTAACGGTTCACTAATGTATCTTTGAACAATTTTGTCTAGCAGTTGTTTTCCCTATTAGATGGGGCGTGAACATACCTACTGCGTATGATACCATTAGGTCCGCCCCGCCGGGCCAACAGCCCTGGATCTCTTATAAAATACCCAATAAGCCCAGTAGACTGGCTGGGCATCAGTTTACTCGGCTCAATGGACTTCAGCTATGTCATCTCTGTGATCACTTGCATGGAGTTAAGGTCCTTTAAAAGGTACCACATGTTTCACAATCCGCAATAAACCTCGTTCTATAACATTTCAAGTGGAAATAGGTTTCCACCCACTTTATGAACTCTCCCTATCTTTCTTCATCTGCGTCCTCATCTCCAGAAGCTCTGCTATACAATATCCAGTATCCTTAACATGCCTTGTCAACCCCCAAACCACCTAAAACCGAATCACAACCTTATGCTCCAAATGCTCACTATACCGCCGATAAAACTCGGGCGCCTCCTCAATCCCAATAACAGCACTAACGACAAAACTCGGACTCGCACGATCCCTCGCCACAAGATCCACAAGCCCATGCGCATGCACCAGCGGCAGCACAATCCCACTCCCAACACTCAACGCCTTCGCCCAGATCTCAAAGACAGAGACGGGCACTTCAGCCGGCAACGTCCCCGCATTCGGAGCGCCAACGCTGCTATTCTGCCCGCCCGCATAGACACCCGTGATCGCGATCCCGCCCTGCTGCGCCGCCACAGAGATCAAATTCCGCGGGACGAGCCCGTCTTCCCTGGAGCCCGTGGCATTAACAGCTTCGAAGCCCACGCAGTCCAGGGCGCGTGTTACACCGTTGGGCTCGTGGGCTTGGATAGTGGAGACCGGGTCGGGGTGAGTTTCGTTGAAGGCGATGGGGATAGCGCCGATGGATTCGGCGAGCGCCAGGCGGTCCGCGACGTGGTCGACCGAGTAGACGCGGGACGCGCCGCGGAGGAGCGCGGAATAGGCTGCGAGGAGGCCGACGGGGCCGGCGCCGAAGACGGCGACGGTGTCGCCGGGCTCGAAGCCGCTGTCGCTGAGGCTCTGCCAGCCTGTTGTGAAGACGTCGGAGATCATGAGGTAGTCGAGTTCCTTGGTGGTGTTGTCGGTTTGGTTGTTGAAGGGGATGGGGATGAGGGACATGTCGGCGAAGGGGACGCGGGCGTACTCGGCTGGAGAGGGAGGGTGTTAGGGTGGACTTCCTATGGTTTTGTGGCATTTGATGCAGAGAGATGGATAAATGTACGCACCTTGCAGCCCTCCATAGTTCTCAGACCCCGACCCAAATGAGATAGGGTGCTGTTGACCGTAATGTCCCGAGTGCGCATTGTCAGGGATGATCACATACTCGCCGACCTGGAGCGAGGAGACCGCGCTGCCAACCTCCTCGACGTATCCAACTGCTTCGTGGCCAAGGGCCCAGGGGATATTGTCGGCGCCGGTGTAGCCGTGGTAGAAGTGCAGGTCGGAGCCGCAGATGGCGGAGCTGGTTATACGCACGATGGCGTCGGTCTGGTTGATGATTGTTGGGACGGGCATGTCGATGACCGAGACGTTGTAGGGTTGGCCGAACCAGGCGACTGCGCGCATGGTTGCGGTTAGGGTTGTGTTTAGGGGCATCTTGGAGTGATGGGAGTGACTCTGATTGGAAGGAATGCGCGTTCTCAGAATTGAGATACAGGCAGAACACCTTGGTAGACGGCCTTCTACTTATACCTTTATAACGACCTAGGCAGAGACCCGCTTTAATGGTGATGATAATATCTCCATTCAGGTGGCTTTCCTGCCAACCCGTCTTGGAAACCGAGGCTGTACCATCAGCTCCACAAAGATCCCACGTATGTCGTCAGAGTCATTATGCTCGTAAGCTTCATATCAGATAAGCTCGGCCATAGACTGATAGTTCAATTGCTGACCATATTGGCCAACCACAGTCTGCCAGTCATCAGGGTGGGCCAGGGCCACATGGCCTTGTCATCCCCCTGCATGATTAGAGTACCACCGTTCCCCTGCCCGACCCACTCAAGCTTGCCCTTATCTCTGTTCTTCACAACCAGGCTGCAAAATATGTACCAGGTTCTCCCGTTGCTTATTCTGGACTACTACGCGGCATCGGGGCAGCCAAGTCCTGATGCCATCAGTGACTTGAATCCCGGTACGCTGACATCCTGATCTCCACACCAATTTTGCAGCCAACGTCGCACTACGTTGGATATGCCAACAAAAGATGTCATCCCCGGCTAACTCCTTCAGAGCTGATTATCTCCGTCCCGGTCCTTCGGATGATCACACCCGTGCCTGCCCGGGCGTCGGCGGTGCAAAATGTATAGATAAAGGAAGCCAGCAACAAGCGGAGCCATACCACACTCAACCTTCTCCCACTTTGTTTTCCTCCTGGCATAGAAACTTGCACAATGGCATCCCAACTCTGGCTCATCACCGGCGCCTCTTCCGGCTTTGGCGCACTCATGGCCGAACAAGCTCTCCAAGCAGGCCATCGTGTCATTGCCACAGCGCGTAACCCTACCAAAGCCGCCAAGGACTATCCCCAGGTCGTGTCATTGGGCGGGAAGTGGCTGGAGCTGGACGTGGCGAAGCCAGAGACGAAGGAGATTGTCGAACAAGCCATCCGCGACAACGGCGGCCGAATTGATGTTGCCATCAACAATGCGGGATATGGGTTGCTCGGTGGAATTGAGGATATCAGGTGCGAAACACCCCTACCTACCTAGACATGACAAATCCAATTAATCCTTGGAACGCCTAACTAAGCGAGGACGAAATGGACACCCAATTCCAAACAAACATCTACGGCACCGTGCGCGTCATCAAGGCCGTCCTCCCCTTTATGAGGTCGCAGCGCAGCGGCACAATCGTCAATTTCAGCAGCATCGCCGGGTTCGCAGCGGGTCCGGCGAGCGCTGTGTACTCGATGTCCAAGTTCGCAGTGGAAGGTACGCTACCGTGCAAGCTGTTCCCAGTGCAATCCATGAATCTCAATTCCGCATCGCTAATGCCAGCACCACAGCTCTCTCCGAATCCCTGCACGCCGCCCTCGCCCCGTTCAAGATCCGCATCCTCCTCGTCGAGCCAGGCGCGTTCCGCACAAACTTCATCGGCGGCCACCAGATGCCCGCTGCGGGGATGAACAAGGACTACGAGGGCACGCCGTTAGGCGCGGCGCTGCGGTTCTTCGAATCCTTTGCTGGGAAGCAGCCCGGGGATCCGGTCAAGGGGGTCCAGCGGATAATGGATGTTATTCAGCTGCGTGGGGTGGGGGAGGGGAAGGAGGGCTTGCTGAGGCTGCCGATTGGGAGCGATTGTTTTCCTCGCATGCTGGGGAAGCTGGATACTTTGAAGGAGGAGTTGGAGGCTATGAGGGAGGTTGCGATGAGTACGGATGTTGAGGAAGATCAGGCCTGAGCAACATGTCTATAATGTGCCAGTGGTATATGGAAAGTACTACCCACATCCATGGATGTCCGGTGAAGGCAATGCCACAGAAATCCTCCCTGTTCCGGTATTAATTATTATCCAATTCCGTTATCCTTCACAATACCAAGAGGTACCTCAGAATCCCTATCCAAAGCTGCACAATCCCGTTTCGCTTGCATCGCGCCTTTCCAAACTATTTCCCTCCACATTCTCCTCAACACACTTGAACACCTCATCGCCAATCGTCGTAGCCGTGCGCAACATCGCCTCCCCAGTATCGTATATGATCCCAAGAACATTCGAGGCCAAGAACAACACAAAAACCAACGTAGTCAAGCAGGCAACAACCAAGAGCGCCTTGTGGGCGCGGCTCCGCCCACCAAGTCCTGTCGCATGTTCGAGATACAGAGCAAAACATAGTACCATCGACTGGCAGAACGCCACAGCAATCCACTGGCTTGCCATAGTCGGTCCAAGATGGGCCGGCTTAACGCGCAAGTCCTGCAAGATGGCTATTTCAGTAAGCGCAATGGTGTGGAGGCCGAGTCCCACAATGCTGAGAGGGCGTTGGCTTTGACTCCGCTGCCGCATTTGCCTGACTTGCAGAAACCCAGCTGAAATGGCTGTAATGTAGCCTGCTACCGTGAAGGACTCGGCTGCAAATATAGCCATCAGAATAACAGCAGTCTGCGCTGCGTTGGCGGGCACATCGCCCCAGGACAAGGTGCTTTTTTGGACCAGCCAATGCGAGACGGAGAACGAGATTGCGGCATTTGAGATGATTGCTAAGAGGACAGTGGCAGTGGAGGGCCGCGCTGTAGGCGCATCTGCACCTGCAGGTCGTGAAGTAGGGCTGGGATTGGCCTTGGTTTCTGTCTCGGTGCCCTGTGCGGGATCCCGATCACGATTTGCAGGCGCTGCCACCGGTGTTTCGCGACTCTGGTATCGGGACCTCAAGTAAATAGACAGTATTAACAAGGATCCCACCCAATGCGCGATCGGCGCGAAGAAGGGCGAAATCACCGAGAGTGTCTAGGGGGTGTTGAGGGCGACGGTGAACAAGCACTCATATGCGCACAGGCTGTACAGATTCACGAAGCGGCTGGCGAGAAGCGAGGTCGCGCTGATGGAGAGGAGAGTCATGTACCAGGCGCAGAGTCCCGTGCTGGCGGCCGCATGCTTGCAGCTGGACTGGTTGACGAGGTGTTTTATCTGCAGAGTGTACGAAAGGGCGACGAGTAGTGCGACTAGACTAGATGTGGCCCGATGTTAGTGGGGTTTCTCTACTGTATGGAATGAATCACAGAAAATGGGGAGCTTCGTACATTTCACCGCTTGTCAAAGTGACCGGTTGGACAAAATTGGCGCAGGTATCTTCAACGTGGGCCATGATGGGGGTTGTGAGGTAATGCTATGGTGGTAGGTACCGAGATCTGAGTATCGTCGAAGCTGACCTGGCACCACCACGTATTTATCTTCATCTCCTGTGCCAGGATCTCTATGTTTAGTAGTCAATGCAGCAAGATTTGTCGATCAATCTCTGGCTGCGCCCTGTAGGAGCTTCGTACTCTGTACCGAGCGCAGTGTTTTCCCGCTTCTGGAAATGCTTGCCACCACGAGCCCCAGGGCTGTAAAGCCGCGAGGCAATACGCTTTATTTTCTCATAGGTTAAGCTTGTAGATCACTCTTGGGGCTGCGGGTGGCGTTACGTGGGGTATCAGGGCACCAAGACCGATCGACAGCTTCGAAGCTTACCCGTACTGGACATTAAGGTCTTAGCGGGCCTGGGGCCGGAATACACTGTACAGCCTCGTTGGTAAGCAAGAGCTCTTTAATCTATATCGCCTACATAGGTCGACGGCGCAGTTAGGCCGAGGCGCCATGGGAATATCATCATGTAAAACTAGCTAGGAGCACCGAGCAGTTATCAGCAAGCTACCATAGTATAGTACCTACCTAGGTAAGTGCCCGAGAACGCAACAAAAAACATAACCCTACCCACTCTTGGACAGTCCTCAGAATTCCCATACATCCCCCGACCGACACTCGCTTCATGTAGGAAAGCCGCCAACTCTATAGAAGCTCAACCAGAAGTCCATAAATGCCCTGGCACGCAGTTGGCACGATATACCGCGCAACAACAAGCCCATAAACAGCCGTGACACCACAGCAAACCTGAAAGAGCCTCTTCCTGCTCCCAAGGCGCATCATGTGTAGAGTCCCCCCACCCCCAAGACGCAACAGCACAGTCAATACAATAAGCTGGGAAAACGCAAGCGAGATCCACCCAGCAGCTAAGCCGTAGGACCATAGTATGTACGACCACCATTCCTCGCTAAAAACAGGCAAGAGGTGGGCGTCGGTGCTTTGAAGATTAAGAGACGCATAGATCTGGGAAACGGCCAAGGCTGTGAATGAGGCGCCCTGGAGAGCAAGGCTGGTGATGCTAAGTGCCCCCTGGTCCACCCGCAGACCCTCCCGGTGGCGATGTATCATGAGCCGGATCTGAGGGATAAATGCAGCGAGCGAGGGGAAGACGCCCAGCGCCGTCGCCAGGACGCTGTACCACATGGCAAGAACAGCCGTCCAGCCTTCGTCGGATAGCTCTTCACGCACGAGTAGAATTAGCAGAACGGCGGGAGCGAGAAAGATTGCCATGTGTATGATGGATGTTGCGAGGATGAGTCCATTAGATGGCGATGTGCGCGCCGTCCCGCTTTTCTTCTCGGTGCTTGGAAGATGTTCTGTCCTTGCAATTTGCTGCCGACGGCGGGATAGCATAAAGGAAACTAGAAAGGTGGCTGCTGCGAGGAACTGAATGGCGAGTGGAAGGATAACTGCTAATGCAGAGAAGGCCTTTCGACCCTGCAGCTCGCCCAGACTAATACAAGCAAAGATGTTGAAACTCTGTGCCGAAAATATCCAAGCCATAAGGTGCGAGTTCACACCGAGGATAAGAAGTAGGATGTACCAGCCAGATATCCCAGTCGCGCCATGGTCGTCTCGTTGAGCGAGCTGGCGGATTGGCGGAGTATATGAGGCTGCAACAAACAGAGCAACTAGACTGGAGCGCGATAAGCATATTAACTTGTTATTTAGCATCCTCAGCAAGGGCCGCCTACATATTAATAGCCGCGTGGAAGGGTGTTAGGACGTGTTCTGAGCACTCAACAAACATGATGGTTAAGCGCCGCGCTCTTTGACGGAGTAATTCAATCTATGGATGGGGACGACCCTCCTGCCAGCAGCGGTTCGGGGCCGGCGGGTGGGCGGCTCCATTTATATTGACCTTATTTTATCATGACTCAAGTCAGCCTGGGCATTAATTAGCTGGGCCAGTAAACAGCAGCCAAGCTGGGAGGGTTTACCTGCCAGCTCTGCTAGGCAGTCTTAGCGCTCAACTAGGCCTGTTTGCCTGAGTGGCTGTGTACGGAGGCAGTCTCACTCCAATGGCATGGCATGGCATGTTTCTTGCATGTCTAAGAGCGCTCGCTATTGGGGGCCTACGACTGGCATTGCGCGGGGTACTTCGTAAACCTCCGTGCAGGCGCTGGGG